TTGGATTTGTGGCCACGGTGTACCAGAAGACATTGTCAGCGACCGCGACACTCGTTTCATGTCGGCGTTTTGGACTGCTCTCATGCAGGAGTCCGACACAATAATGAAACCAAGTTCGGCTCGACATCCTCAGACAGACGGGCAGACGGAGCGGGGACATCAAACCGCTCAAATGATGCTTTGTACGCTCATCCGTCCGGACCAGAAAGATTGAGTTGACCGCCTCCCCGACATCGAGTTCGCCTTCAACACTTCGGTGCATCCGGCGATCGGCGTGACTCCATTCGAGTTGCACCACGGTGGACGGAAAGGCCGGATCTTCGCCGACCTTCTCCTCCCTCGACCAGCCGACATTGACGCTGCCTGCTCTCCCGCTTCCGTCCGGAAGTACAGGGAATTGTTGAATCAAGCCCGCGCAAATATGCAAAAGGCTCAAGTCCGCATGCAGCAGCAAGCCAACAGGCGTCGCGTACCATGTCCCATCCGCACCGGTGATCTGGTTTGGGTCTCCGCAGAAGAGATTTGCACTGGAACAGGATGTTTCACGCAAACTGCTTCCCAAGTGGTTTGGACCTTGGTCAGTGACAGCAGCCGCGGGTGATGAGCCCGATGGCCCTTCATTTGTGATCAACATTCCAGAGCATCTGACGGTCCATCCGGTCTTCCACGCCTCGAAGCTGGCAACATACACGCCAGCCAAGAGCGACGACTTTCCAGACCGACGATCGCAGGACCCTCCTTCTATGGATGGCCATCAGGAAGTTGACCGCGTCATCTCCGATCGCAAGTACGGCAGCAAGCCGCGGCAGTACAAAGTCACATTCAAAGCATGCAATCGCGACGACACTCGGTGGATTTCAGGCGCAGATTTGAAAGCATCCGCACCGCTGATCTACGCGCATTATGGAAAGCGGAGGTTAGCTCAGGAAGCTTCACGACCAGCCCCTCCCACCCGGACTGTGGTCCCTCCCTCAGACAGACAGCTTCACCCTCGCAGGTAAGCTCGGTTCTTCAAGGAGGGGGGATACTGCGTAGCCACACGGGCCCTGCAGGGCCCGTCCCGGACATTCAGCCTAAGAGCCTAAAACTTAGGGCTTACAGCCCCCATTCGTTTCAGCTTGAAAGCTGAAAAACGAGGGCCTGTAGGCCCTACTCCATTTCAGCCTATTTCTGGATCTTTCAGACCCAGAGTTTTTCCAGCCTGAAACAGAGGGCCGTTTTCAGGCCCTCATTGTTTCGACCTTCCCCTAAGACTCAGGCACGTAAACAGGGATGCGGAACAGGCCAATAATAGCCTGTACCTCGAGTTTGAGCAGGAGCTGCAGCGGCAACCCCTGCCTCCGATCGGCATTGGCAAGAGCAGCCTCCTGGACTGCTCGCCTGCAGTCAGGAGGCACCCCGGTAGTACATAGGACTGTCCTAGGCACTTCACGGGAGGTAGTTCAATAGGCACGAAGTAGTCTTCAGGATTTCGGCCGCAGCACTTAGGAGGAGCGCTGCAGTAGTCTTCAGCGCTAGGTGGTATTAGCGCTAGCTGTTGTCTTCGGCGCTGGGCGCCATAGCTGTAGCTGTAGTCTTCAGCGCTGGGCGCTGGTAGGTGGTAGATTGTAGAGTGGGAGAGAGACTGGCGGAGGCCAGTGGTACTTACCTGTGGCGCCATCGCTCCATCTCCATCTTCGTGGTACCTGCATCAAGGCGCCAACTTCACAGGTTAGTACTGGACACAGAGAGAGAGAGAGAGTTCTTCTTCTTCCTCTTCTAAGTCCACCTTCTCTTCTCACCCTCTCGCCACTTGACTTCTCAGACTACGACAGAGAGAGAGAGACAGAGTTGTGACTTGAGACTTGAAGCCATTGGATCCAGACTTGACATTTGGGATTCAGACATTTCGACGAGGGACTATTTGGGCTTGTGCCGAAGACTTGGTGTTGACGACATTCCCATCTTCCCCCTCCTCTTCGTCTATCCCCTTCCTCTTCGTCTGTGTATGGTATGGGCTGGCGCAGTCTTCCTGTGTGAAGCGCCAGGCCCCATTCACACCATGTAACGATGATGATGATGTATGTTCAGGGCTGCATTGCAACATTGATTGTTCGGATCACTGGTATCTAAGTCTTCCGTTGTGCTATCTTATACTTTGTATTGAGTCGGTTCTTGTTCTGGTCTGCACGTTACAGTATGCAACAGAGAGGCAAGTAGAGAGTTGTAGTGTGGAGAGTTGTAGAATAGAGATCTGATAAGGGGTGGGGAATAAACAAGCTGCCACAATACGGTGTAGGGTAGCAGTAGTAAGTTGTAGTAGTAGTAGTAGTAGCAGAAGAGACTATAGAGACCGGGGGGAGAAGGGTTCAGTAAGGGTATCAGTCTGACTGATTACTTGGGGAATTACACGGAGACATGTAGACAATGAGGTCAGAATAAAGACTGACACTTTCAGGTAGAAGACACAGGGGTGGAGGGAGGGACCCACCTACTCTCTCGGTGGGTGTAGCTATAGGCCGCCGAAGGCCGAAAGGTCACCCAAGTTTATTCTGGGGACTTTGAGAGAGGCCACACATAGACTGAGGCGTACTAGGCTCGGGGAGGGCGTGTAGCCCTCTGTTAGATAGTCTTGAATAGAGTAGGTTGTTGGGGTCGGGTCACTAGGGTAAGGGGAAGGGATCTTGGACATTATTAGGTATAAAACAACTGAGTTAGTACTTAAGGAATGATGAAATTTAATGACACAGAAGCTAAACCAGCTGATGCTGCCGGGATAACTCCGGGTTGAATTGTGAGGACCCTGGCCTCGTTCTTTATGTGTTTTTGGAATATGAGTGAATTCTTAAAAAAAAAAAAAAAAAAAAAAAAAAAAAAAAAAAAAAAAAAACTTTTCAAAAAAAACTCAGATCCTGTTTTTCGTTTTCTTTTTCTTTTCTTTTTCTTCTTTTCTTTTTTTTTCTTTTTCTTCTTACCCCCCTGACAACGGGGAGGCAGCTGGCAGGTCGGGAGGAGCAGGTCCTCTCTCTCATCCTCCCTTTTCTTTCCTTTTTCTCTCGCGTGTGCGATATGAGCCGCGAGATCTTAGATCTCGCGGCTACAAAAATCTGTGCCACCATGAGGTGGGGGCTATCGTGCTCCCACACAGTCTAAAGAGACTGTTTTCTTCGACAGCAGAGGCATTGTCTGCCTCGTGCAGCCTCTGGATTGGTGGCCGTTGCTTCAGCAACGACACCTATCTCTCCGCTGTTTTTTTTTTTGTTTTTTTTGTTTTTTAAGATTGTCGTTGGCATAAGCCAACGGTCACTGTAGACTGCGCCAGCCTGGTTGGCATTCCCCCCTGCCCCACCGATTTACAGACCCAGGTTCTATTCCCTTAGGGGAATCGAAAAAATTCTGGGTGTTTTCTTGATTTATGCGCGTCATCCTTGCGCAGGGGCCATGTTGCAGCCACGCAGCCGTTCCCGACCGTGAGATTTGATGATCACGCGGCCGAGAATGGCCGCGCTTCATGCTGGTGCAGTGGGCAGCTCCAAAAGAAAAGGAGCTAGCCCAGACTGCTTATCGCCGGCTCGATCCCGGCATCTGCTGGGTGAAAATTTAGCACGGTAACCTATTGGGCTAACTCCTTTTTACGAAAGCTAAGCCTGCTACCTTTCTATGTGAAGGGTAGCAGCCCAGCAGGCTACCCAGCCTTGACCATAGGCAGGTCTCGTCGGCCTCCCTTTTCAAAGTCAGCTGCGCTGCTGTCGGCACGACGGCCTCCTAGTCCCGCCGTAATCACGCTGCCGCCCATTCATTGGGCGGCTCACCCTGATGGCGCCGCGGCTAGCCTTTGTAGGCTCCGGATATGGCATTGCCTCTTCGCTAAGAGCAAACCTCGCGGTTCAGGAAATAAAACCCCTTCTATCTATTCCCTCTGCGATGCGGCTCTGTATCTGGCGAATCCTTCTTTTTAGCCTTCTTGGGCTCTAAATCACGCAACTTAGCAGTCGCACGACATTTTTTACGTAGATTAGGTCTAGCTTTAGTCTTTCCATGACCGCGCACCATTGCGGTCTTATCGGGAACCGCGGACGACAAGTCGTACCGCTGTCTCCCGCAATTTCGATCGAACGCCAATGACGTTATACGTCAACGACGTCAGGTTTTAGGTATCTTAGGTTGGTCTGAATACACTTTTGACAAACATCAATCTCATCAAGTCTTTCAATTAAGCAAAAAAAAAAAAAAGTCGGACAGCGTCCGACGTTGAAACCCCCCGGCAAATACCCTTGTCAGGGTATTTGCCCCGACACCGCAACTTTGTCAACGTGTGGGGTGTAGGCCAATCTACTTTGTCAACGTGTGGGGTGTAGGCCAATCTGTAATCGTTGCGATTTTTCTATCCTCTGGCTTAATACCGTCTCAGTCAACGACATGGCCGAGATATAGAACTTGGGTTTTTGCCCATTCGCACTTCTTCACGTTGATCTTGAAGTTAGCCTCTCTCAGCTTCTCCAAGACCTGCCTTAGATGACCCTCATGTTCCTGGAGGGTCCTACTGAACACTAGAATGTCATCTAAATAGACTACTACAAACATGTCCAACCACGACCTAAATAAGTCATTCATACAACGCTGAAAAGTTGTTGGCGCTTTGGTTAGTCCAAAGGGCATAACTATAAATTCGTAGTGCCCATATCTAGTCCGGAACGCGGTCTTATACCGATCATCAGGATGAACCTCTATCTGATGATATCCGGACTTCAGATCTATTTTCGAAAAATACTAGCACCCCTGCACCCGATCTAAAAGATCATCTATACGGGGCAGTGGTTATGCATTCTTCACTGTAATCGCATGGAGACCCCTATAGTCTATACACATTCTGAGCTCTCCTTCCTTCTTGGGAACAAACAGAACAGGTGCTCCAATGGAGACGAACTGGGCCTGATCCAACCCTTCTCCAGAGTTCGTTTAACTGCTTGCACAACTCCTCCAATTCCCGCGGGGACATCCTATAGTCTGCTCCTGTAGGAGTCCTACTGCCAGGCTCTATCTCAGTGCGGTGCTGGATGGGCCGCGGGACTACTCCCGTAGGCGGCTTAGCTAAATCTACATACTTTTCCAACAGCTTGGCAATAGCGGGATCTACGGGCTTTTCCTCTTTAGGCTCAGTGACTGGCCTGACATAGGCTACAAAGACCTGTTCTTCTAGCTGCTCCTTCACTAATCTTGCAAACGTAGGAGCGCTAAGGCAGCAATGTGCCAGGGAGTTATCTACTCCTGACACGTGGAACAAACGGGCAGTCTTGACCCCGCCTGACGGACTAGGGAGCCTACACTCGTGCTCTCTCAAATGGAGTGCGGCCCCGACTACCTCTCCCCAGTCCATTCCTAGACCATGTCAAAAGGACGGTCGTCCTGTATGAGGAGAGTCGGGGAATAGAGAACTTTCTCCACCCTCCCATCTTTCTCTAGGCGGAAATACACCTGGACTCCCTCTACGTAGTCCTTGATACGCATAGTGCGGTTGTCTGCGAGGACACTAACTATGGGGTCTTCTAATTTTTTGACTTTTAACCCTAGCCTTAGCTTCTTCAGCGGTCTACGGCTAATATAACTGGGAGTAGCCCCTGAATCTATAAGGGCTTCTAAGAACTTCTACGTCTACTAAAACTAGTTGTCCTCGACTCTCCTTCTTCATCTTGGCCCAGGCGGGCATTCTCTACGCCTGTGAGAGAAGTGCCTAGAGAGACTCTGACACAAGCAGTCTCTGGACAGTTATCTAGGCACCGGCCTGCAACCTCTGCCATAGGCACATGTGGTGTGGGAGTTTCCTGCCGGCTCGCGCTCATTTCCCCACATGGCCTTAGCGTAGGGGTAGTTGCTACCCCTACCGACGGCTGCCTTTTGACCCGTGGGCAGCCCATCAGGCCTCTCTATACCTTGGACAATATTTGATGATGTGGCCAGAGTCACCGCAATATATGCACTGCCCCTGGTCCACACGTTGTTGCCAAACGCGCTGGTCCAGGCCCAGATCTTCCCAAGGTCGACCCTATGGAAGACCTGGGTGCCAACCACTTCTCCTATAGGGTGATCTATTACCCCTATTAGGCGACCTATTCCTTGAACGGTTTTGCGGGGGACCTTGACCCCTTCCTCCCGCTTGGCGGTTTCCTCCTCTACCACCAACCCCCTGATCGTCCTGGGAACGGCCCCTTGAGGCCCGACCCCCTTGGCCCTGGCCTCTACCTCCTCCTTGCGGCCTCCCTCCGGCCGCGACAACAGTGTAAGTCCTCCCCTGGCTAACGCCACTGTCCTCCTCCCCTAGTCCCACTCAATCTGCTCGTAGGGGACTTCATCGACATACTCATCTAACGTAAGGATCAAACGATCCTTGGTCTTGACCTGACCCGAGATGGTGCGACCCTTCCACTTTTTGCCCTTATCTAGGTCCTTATGCCAAAAAGTGGAAATTGACATGGACCTCGCTTCAAACGCCACCACTTCCCTGCTCAATGCGTCGTAGGTCATGGTGGGCTGCTGACTCTTCTTGAAGAAGTGCCCTCGTAATTGTTCGGGCATAGGCCGGTAGAAGAGGTTGACCAACTGGGCCTCAGTAACCCCATGGTCAGGAATGGCTACCAACTCATCCATCACACCTTTGAAAGCCCTAGCACTCTTCCACTGCCGAGAGTGGATGGTTTGTAGTCGATCAGAGGCTTTGATGCTGCGTGAGACATCTGCAAATCGTTTGCACAATAACTTAAGAAAATCGTTGAGGGGAGTGAATGCAGAGTAGGCGACTAAATCATCATTGCAGTTGGCGGTGTGACACAGGGACCTAGCAAAATCGGTTGCCTCCTCCCTCAGGGTGTGAATGGCTATTAGGACGAGCTCATCCGGGGAGACTTTTTGTAGGTGCACATATGTTTTGATATTGGCTTCCCAATTATCAAAATTTTCTTCCTTCTTCCCGCTATAGAAATCCGGGAACTTGACCTTGACCGGCTCCCTACGGGGACGTGCTTCCTCCTCCTTGGGAGCAGTCAATCTGGCCCCTTCTATGGCGCCCGTACAATAACGTTCCGTGCCTTCTAGGTGGGCCCTCACCTCTGAGCCCACCTGCGTCGCCAATTCCCTTGTGAAGTCCCTGAGCCCCAGTCATATAGAGCGCAAAGCAGTGTCCTGTCCTCTACCAAACAAATATTGTTCTTCCTGGTCCTGGGCCAGGCGCTCTATGTTTCTCGCCATTATCTCCATCTTCCCCAATAGGTCCACCTGCGTTGCCATCTGCTCTCTTTGCTTCTTTACCTCCACTAATTTTTTCGCCGCCTGGCTCGCCGCCTCCATTCTTCTTTTCCTCTCCCTCGTCAATCGGAACTTCCACTCCATCCTCTTCTCATCCTCTATCGCTTGCCGCTTGAGTGGGTCTTCTTCTGCATCCCACTCTTTCATGGCGGCCTCTTGTTCTTCCCTGGGCACATACATCAGTGCCTCCTCTTCTTCCCCCAGGGATAAAGCAACCCACTCTGTAATTTTCTTCTCCTTCTGATCTTCTTTTGTACCACTGGATTCTCCTCTTCCTGCCCTTCGCCTTTCCAGTGGCTGTTCTTCTACCTCTTCCTCCTCTTCTACCGCCTTGAGCTTCTCTTCTTCTTCTTTCTTTAACCTCTCTTTTTCTCTGGCCATCTCCTCCTCAATCTTCTTCAATTTGGCCGCCTGTTCCTCCATCAGGGCCTTCTTCTTGGCCTCCTTCTTCTCTCCTCTCTTTCAAGTTGGTGGCAGCTTTCGCATCCTGCTCTGCCATATAAGGGGAGGTGCTCGCATCCTACGCATGTCAACCATGGTGAAAGGTGCACAACCAAGTGACGATTCCGCTCCTCACCACTTAGACGCCCCCTCTGACCGACTTACCTAAGACTGATTCAGTCTATGGATCACAAGATCCGTAGAGAGCCCTGTCAACTATGGTCTCTAGCCTAGACTCTAATCACTACAGCCGTCACTACAGAACATGTTGCTGACCAGGAGGCATTTAAGGAGATCCCCCGTAACTCCTCAGGATCTTTTAACGTCGCAGACAGGACGACGCGGTCAGCAGGTTCTCTCAAGACTTAGACGGCCCGTTGTGCAGCCCACAACTCGGATTACACCGAGCAGACCGCCGGTCAGTACCGGTCCTTGGGAGGGTTCGTGTCCTCCCGGACAGTCGAGTCGTCAGACATAGTCTTTAGCCCTACTCAGCCCGTGTGGGTCTGGTCAACGAGGCCCTATCCTTCATACATGGAGGCCTATCACCTGGACAGAAGAGACTCAATGCAGAAAGAAGAGACAGATAGACTCAGATTCAGTAAGTACCATAGGGTGAGTGCACATCCATAGGGCAAGGGGATAGGCTAAGGGCTTGGCGAGATTATACCAACTCCAGCTTGGTCAAAATCGTGGTCAGCAGCTCCGATCAACGCCTTGGTCAACGCTTGGTGAACGCGATCAAACCCCGGTCAACGCTCCGGGCAACCCTCCGGTCAACGCCTGGTCAACCCTTGGTCAACGCATGGTCAATCCTTGGTCAACGCCCGGTCAACCTCCAAGTTGACTATGGCTGCCGGCACCTTCTTCCTCGCTACCCTTCACTTCTCTTTCCCCCTCCTTCACCTTTCTTCTTTCTCCTTTTTCTCTTTTTTTTTTTTTTTTTTGGTCACCCTTGGCTATGTCTGTCTTCACCTTCGTTGTCCCTCCTTCCTCCTTCATCAGCTATGTCTTCCTCTTCCTCTCCGGTCTCTCCTCTCTTCTCCACTTCTCCTTCCTTCGTCAACCCCGTGTCCGAGCTCTGCGGCTATGGCCGCCACTCCCTTCTTCGTCGAGCTGCACAACCAATCTTGTATCACTCAACTCTCTCTCTCTCTCTCTCTCTCTCTCTCTCTCTCTCTCTCTCTCTCTCTCTCTCTTC